GCACAGCCTTTGTTGCTGAAGCAGTGGCAGCCAGGGAGTGCATCCACTGGCTGTGAGAAGCAAAGTTTTATAGCTCTAACCCATGCCCTCTCCTACTGTCTTACCTCTTTTCCCCCATTGGCTGTGTACTCAAGGCATACAATCTAAACGCGTCAACTAATACCCAATAGAAGCGAACATACCCATATTTGGGAGCTAGATGTACGTGTATACCAGGAGCGACCAGGAGTTGCCTGTGCTGACATGGATTTGGAGAAAAAGGGAAACTCAACTCAGGGCTTTATAGAAAAGTGAAACTTAGGCCTGAGGGAACTGCATTTTAGGCCATCTCTCACATGTGTATTTATGGGCAGACTTTACCATGCTTCAAATGTCTTTTTTTGCTTAGAATTTCGTATAGCATCTAAGGCTTTTTTTTTTAAACCCTGGAATGACCCTCAGTCATCCTACCCTCCTTCTCCCATTGGTGGGTTACTTCTAGTTCTCCATTTTGGGGAGAGAAGTAATCTTTCATTTTCCTCCAAGCCGTCCTTTTGACTCTCTGGACCACTATACCACTTTTTCATCCTATTCCTTCAGATTTTCAGCTCCCTTACATGTGCTATCTTCTCCTACTAGAAAGTAAGTTCCTTGAGAGAAGGGACTTTCTTTTTGCTTATATTTTTATCCCCCAAAACTTAGATCATTGCTCAGTTCTTAATAAAAGCTTAATAAATGCTTATTGCCTGTATGCCAGGCTTTGGGGAGAATGTTTAGTATCCATTATTCTTATACTATCTTAGTACATACCTTTGCTTTTTAAACCAATTGGGCAGTTAGTTGGTGCAGTAGATAAAGTGCCAGGCCTAGAATTAGGAAGACCGGAGTTCAAATCCAGCCTCAGACACTTACCAGATGTGTGACCTTGGGAAAGTCACTTAACCTTGTTTGCCTCACTTTCCTCATCTGTAAAATGAGCTGGAGAAGGAAATGGCAAACCACTCCAGTAGCTTTGCCAAAGAAAACCCCAAATGGGGTCACCAAGAATCAGACTTGACTGAACAACATCAAAAACTAATTATGTCTACTAGATGATTGCTAATGGAAAGCACAATGGTGGGGACTTGTGAATGATATTAGAAAGTCAGGACTTCAGGATTACCCCAGAATACTGAAAGTAATAGCCAATACTGGAAAGATCTCAAAACACAAGTGTGAGTATGAGTTGGGGGACTGAACCACAGATCCAGGAGCAAAATGGATAGAATGCTAGATTAGGAGTCAGAAAGACCTAAGTTTAAGAGTTCAGGTGCTCCTCTGAGTGCCTCAAGTACTTACTAGCCATGTGACCTGGGGCAACACACTTAACCCCTGCATCAGTTTATCTGTGAAATGGGGATAACAATAACACTACCTCCCAGGGTTCTTGTGAGGAAAACATGAGATCATATTTGTAAAGCATTTTGCAAAGCAAAAGGCCAGCCATTATTACTATTATTACATATTTAAAAAAAACCCAAAACCTTTTCATGACACATAGGGAAAAACCCATGGAAATCTGGGCTTAAATATAGAGTGCAATCATCAAACACACATTTTTGTTTCTAGATTTCTTATTCGTCATTACCATATAGTTGTGTTCTTTGCTCCCTTCCCTTGGAGGATGGGGGGAATTTGCACTGGGATCCTCATCATTAACCAATGAATATTTAATGAATGTACATTATAGTTTGGAGGTGGGTAGAGAAAAGGTTTTATGTCAATGATTATGTGATCCACTGAGCTATGGAGAAACTGTACAGTTTAATATGTTCCCAGGGGATCCTGCATGTTCCCTTCTCTGGGGATTTGAATCCAGATCAAGGCAGCCCTTGGGAAAACAATCCTTACTAAGTCTGCAACTGCTCCAGCTTCCCAAGGGTCCTTTCCACTGCACTGATGATTTAAACTTGAGCCACTCCACCCTTACCCTGGGGCCCAATATAATTAGGTCTAATAGCTTTGACGTGGTGCTGGCTATCAGAGAGACACATACTTTTGCAATGAGCTTGAGAGGTAACTAAGCCCAAGGACTTGCTGCTCCTCCTGGAAGATAAGCAGTACATATCTGCTTTTGGTCCAGCTGCTAAAACCCCAAAACACCGCTGCTTCCTCCAAGAGAGAACAATGACTATCTTGCCTTTATTAAGTGTGTTAAGGTAGAAAGAACAAGCAAAGAAATGAGGAAGACAAAAAGAAAGCATCACTAAGCTCTGATCAAAGCCGAAGAGGATGACCTGGACAGAGTTGTGGGCCTTGGCAGCTATGACTGAAAAGAAAGAGGCCCAGAAGCATGGTGTTGTGGGATAAATGCTGGATAGGGTATCAGTGGACCTTGGGTCACGTCCAGTTTCTGCCACTTAGTAGGTGTGTGATCCTAGGCAAGACATTTGATTTCTCTCAGTCTCTTCAACTGCAAAAATGAAAGTTTTACCTAGTTACAGAGTCCCTTACAACCCTAAGTTTGTGTTCTTACTTAGGCATGATTTGTACACACCTGTAATCCCCATTCCTGGAGAGGCTGAGGCTGGTACATCACTTGGCCTCAGGAGTTCAGCTGGCCTAAAAGTCATTGACTGGCCATTGAGTACTCATTAATAAGGTAAGCCTTCTGTGCTAATTGGCAGTGGGGATGTGGGTAGTTCCTCCTTTATTTTTGAAGCAGACCAAGACATTACAAGCTCTATGTCTTGACTTACTTGTGAACTGGATTAAAGTGAGGCAGAGCTATGTAAAGTCTGTCAGCCTCACTGTGCCCTCCAGAGTTATCAAAGTCCAGTCTTCAGATGGCTGCTGTACTTTCAGCCTGGTTAAGATAGGGAGACCTACTCTCAAAAACTACCCCTGCCCTGTCAAAAAAAAAATCTATGATCCCATGATTTTTCCATTGGCATGGTGGGGATCAAGGGCTGAAGTCAAGAAGGAAGTACCTCTGAGACCTACCACAAGAATATGATGAAAGAAAATCACTGCATTGGTTTCTGTTGCCAGTGCTGCTACATCCCATCCACCTTTCATGCTTCACCTTGCCACATAAATGTAATTAATTATTGTTGCTGCTATTGTGATTACTATTTCTTTCCTGGTACTGTATACTTCAGCCAAAGTGGGGTACTCTCTGTCAAATAATCTGGAGCCAGCTGTGGTGAGAGATACATAATTTCAGAAATGGAAACTGAGATAGTGAGGAAAATGAGGTTATCAAAGACCATTTATCATAACTTGGTCTTCCCATCTATTATCCTCCTATTATCCTACCTATCCCACCTATTATCCTATCACATGATACTAGCTTTCTAGTTTCTAGTTTCCACTCTTAAGAAACTTAAAATGCTGCTGAGAGACAGAAAAAGTATTTTGTGCTAGTTGTATTCATACTGTGAAATCTATATTCTTCTGTGCTATAATGACAAAAGGGTGATTTCATCTCAAATCCCTCCTCTCCCATAAAGCATTCATTCATTCATTCATTGGTTCAATCAACAAATATTTACTGAGCACTACTGGGTATGAGGCACTGTGTATGGTGTTAAGGGGACAGAAAAAAAAAAGAGCCTGGTCTCTGCCTTTCAGGATTTTACAATTCATGAATCCTACAGCTAGCAGTATTATTTCTCTCTTTTGAAGTAAGGTATACTGAAGTAGCACAATATAACGGAAAAAAGCTTTGGATCAGAAATCAAGAACTCATGCAGTGTGGCTCCCCTACTAAATAAACTCCACTGACCCCTATCATTGTAGCCTGGGTCATATATAAAATCCCATTTCGCTTTCAAAACTCTTCATAATTTGCCCCTCCTCACACCTTTCTAGTCTTCTTATAATTTACTATGCACTCCATATTTGCTGTGATCCAGTGACAGGGGCCTTCCTGCTGTTTCTTGAATGTGACACTCTATCTCCTGACCTTTCTGCCTGGAATTCTGTCCCTCCTCATTTCAGTTCCTGGCTCCTCTAGCCTCCTTCAAGACTCAGCTAAAAATCCCACCTTCTGCAAAAAGCCTTTTCTGATCACCCTTGTTACTAGTGCCTTCCTTCTGTTGAATATCTCTAATTTACCCTACCTCTTGTTTGACCAATGTTGTTTGCATGTGGTTTCTCCACATGACTATGACTTAGCTCCTCGAGAGTGGGGACTGTCTTTTGCCTTTTTTCGTCCTCAGTACTTAGCACAGTGCCTGGCACATAGTAGGCAGTTAATAAATGCTTCTTGACAACTCATATCATGCTGGAAAGAGAAATGATTAATAAATTCTGGTTGAATGAATTAATGAAAAAAGCATTTATTAAATTCTTACCCTGTGCAAAGCACCAGGCTAACCTCTGGGCATACAAAGAGAAAAGTAAGACACTTCTTGCTTTCAATGAATTCACGTTCTAATCCAGAAGACAACACATTTGGAAGGTTTCAGCTTCAAGTTAGATGGAAAGGTTTCACACTCCTTAAGTTTCTGGGGCCAAGTAGTTGGTAATGCCTCATCTTTAATGTCATTTTACTGATAAAATCACATCAGTTTCTGACGATGAACTATGTGACAGTACAATGGGTGGATAGAAATTGTAATAGGGAGTATATCGGTTCAATGTAAGGAAAAACTAATTCCAGCTGTTCAACAGTAGAAAGGTCTACCTCGTAAGAGGGGGGCTCCCTATAAATGCAGGCTGGAAGATCATTTGTTAGGTATATTAGATTCCTTACTATTCAAAGGTTCTTTTATTCCATCTTGTAAGAACTTAGAGGGCAAGGACTACATCATGTCATAACTTTTTACATCATCCACGACCTCATCAAGGAATGACCTCATACTAGGTGCCTCACACCCATTAAATTTAATTTGCTTTCTATGACTCTAAGAGGCAGCCTGGCATAGTGAATAGAAGGCTGCTCTCAGGAAGACTTGGGCTCAAGCCTTTCCTCTGGCACATGCTCTGTGACCTTGGCAAAGCACTTAAACCTCTCAGTGCTCTGGGCATCTCTTTCAGACCATGAACTGCGGAGGTGTTTCTTCACCCTGGAATTCCCAGAAGACTGATGAAGAAAGCTACGTGCTTCCTGACCAAGAAGTGAGAGACTAAATATGTAGGACACATACTTTTTGAATATGCTCAACGTGGGAATTTGTTTTGCATTCATATTTGTTAGAAAGGTTTTCTTTTTCTCTTTTTGGCGGCGGGGCTGGGGTGGGGAGTGGGAGGGAGAGAAAATAAAAGCTAGTTACTTGAAAAAATACAATTTAATTTAAAAAGACTAATGAAACCACAGGTTCAGTCCTTATCTATGGTTGTAACTCAGAACTGCAGTAAAGCGATGCTGTGCCCCTGCAGAAAAAGAATTTTATAAACTGAAAAAAAAAAAGAAAGCGCCGTTTTTCTTCCTTAAAATACAAGTCTCTAATCATGAGCCGCAGCCGAGTTCATGCAGGTCTCCTATCTCCACCCACCAGCCCCCGGATGCACGATGCATCAGAAGTCAGATGGGAAAGGGCCGGAGAAGTCTCGGAAGTCACCGCCCAGGGCCAGAGCGAGGGAACGTGCAGAGCTCTCGAGCAACCACGGCGGCATCTGCAGGAGCCGAGCCACCAGCACCACGACGCGCGCGAGCTGCGAGGGCAGCGCGAGGACCCGGGAGAGGGAGGGGCAGGGGGGAGGGAGGGGGCGGGGGCAGGAGCGAACGTGGGGGAGGAGAGAAGCGCCGCGATTGGAGGAGTAAGGACCCTGGGAGCCGGAGCCTCCGGGAGGCGGAGAGAGAAGGATCGGCTAACGGGTCGGGTGGGAGAAGGAGCGGCCTCTGATTGGGGGAAGAGCGTGGAGGGGCGGGGAGAGGGGCGGGCCCGGGCTCTCGCACTCCCTTTCTCCTCCCCTTCCCTTGGGGGAGCCAGGGCTGAGTGCCGGGCTTGGGGCGCCCCCTCGCCCCCGGCTGCTGCGCCGTTAGCTTCGGGGCGGGAAGGAAGGGCCGGGGAGAAAAGAGGAGGAGGAGGAGGAGGAGGAGAAGGAGGAAGAGAAAGGAGCGGGGGAGGGGGAAGAAGGAGGAGGAGGAGGAGGAAGGAGCCGGAGGAGGGAGCCGGGGCGCCAGAGGGCCGCGCGCTCTCCATCGCTCCTACCCCAGTCCCCGCTGCTGCCGCGGGTCCCGGGGCTTCGCCAGCTCTGCGCCGCAGCCCGCACTATGCATGCAGACTGCAGGCCGGGATGGAGAGCCGGGGGATGGTGAGAACCCAGCGCAGCCTATCGTCGCTTCCCCCGGTCCGGACCCCGGCCTGGGCGGCCGCCTTCCTCCTCTCCCCCCTCTCCCTCCTCCTCCTCCTCCTCCTCCTCCTCCTCCTCTTCTTCTCTTTCCACCCCCCTCTTTCTCCTCCTCGTACTTCTGCTGCTGCTGGAAGACACCGGAGCCCAACTAGGTGAGCTGACTGGGGCCCTCCCCCGCGGGGGTGGGGAGGCTGTGCATGGTCTTGGGCGGGTGGGGGAGTCTATCCCTTTTGCAGGGCAGCGTGAGGTAGGGTTGGGGTGTTTCCACACACCCCCTCTCGCCCGGGCTGTGGAAGACCCGCAGATGTGCGGTCTGTGGGGGAGACCCGCACGTAGTCTCCCGGGGGGCGGACAATTTGCAGCCCGTGCTCGTGGTCTCGGAACTTGCTGCCCCGCATCCACCCGGGAGCGGAGGCGGGGGTGGGGGTACTGTGGAATTACTTAGGGCTGAGTCCTAACCTCTTTTGGGTCGTGGACTAGCGACGCCTGTGGACTCCTTTCTCCGAATAATGTTGTAAAATACATAAAATAGAGAACATAGCATTCCAAAGGAAACGAATTCTATTGAAACACAGTTATCATAATGTTCAAGGAAATAAGTTCCCCGGCCTTAGGTTAATAGCCCCTGGTTGAGGGAGTGGGTGGGTGGTGCCATTCTTGGAGTTGAATATATACCGTATTTAGGTAGGAGTGGGTCTAGTTGTGCTTATGGGGGTATGTACATATGTGTGATCTCTGTTTATTTTTTAAAAAATTTTTATATTAAGAAGCATTTATTTCTTCTCCCTCCCACTCATCCATTGAAAAAAAAAAGGAAAAAAAATCCCCGTAGTAAATAAGCATAGTTAAGCAACACAAATTCCCACGTTAGCCACATCCAAAAATAGGTATCTCACTCTTTATCCTGAGTCCATCACTTGTCTGTCAGGAAGTGGATAGTAGCCCATGCTGAGTTTTTAAAGTTGAAATTTCTTGACTTTTTTGCTGCTAATGAAGCTAATAAGGGCTAGTTAATTAGTGATTAGGGAGGAGAAGGAATGGTGGATTTCAACTAATCTTTTCCTTTGAGTAGAAAACTTGAAAGATAAAAGATTTTAAAAGGCTTGGAGACAGGGTAGTATCCGGGAAGGGGGGGGGGAGTCAATTAAGAAAAAAGAATGAATATCAACTTTTAACTGGTAAATCTCAAATTATGATAACAAAAAGTTTAGCTTCTTAAATCTAAGGCTATCTATTCTGTATTCCCACATCAAACTGACCAAAAGGAGAAGTTTACAAGTGTATTTCCTACCCAAATTATTATTAAGGATGGTGGTCAAGATTACTTTGATCACATGCTGGTTTCAACCCAACTTACAATGCTATATTGCTCTAATAAAGTAATTTTCCATATTAAGAGGCTAGCCAAATCTTTCCAAAAAGCAGCAAAACATTTTCCCATTTAAAATCTTTAAGAAATGTGTTTCAGAAGTTATCAAAACTGTAATGAAAAACCTGCATAAAAGTTTGAGGAAGGAATTAAAATAGGAAAGAACAAGTAAAGGCTAATATTTCCCCCAGTTAAAATGATACTGTCCCGTATTTTGGCTTTACTTTTAAAATTTGTTTAGTATTAGTTGTAAAACAGTTCTCTTCTGAATTTCCTGGTTCATTGAAGTGTATGTAAGGTTTTTTTATGTTGATTTCCATAGTTGAGTCCAGATGTCATTTAAATGTTGCTCACATTTGTTATTTGTGATACAGGCAAGAATTACCATAAACAGGTTTTTGTGAAGATGCTGAGATCTTGACAATCGATGGATCATAGTTATAGAGTTCAAGGGAACCTCAGAAAAGTCTTGTCCAACACCCTCATTATATAGATGAGGAAACTATGCAGGGTGAAGTGACAAGGTGAGGTCTGTAAAGCATGTGACTTGCCCAAGGTCACTGAAATAGTTGTTAAGTATTAGAAATTGGATTTAATACTAGGTCCTCTGCCAGAGCCTCTTTTTTTTTTTTTAAAGGCAGTTGGGGTTAAGTGACTTACCCAGGGTCACACAGCTAGTAAGTGTCAAGTGTTTGGTCTGAGGCCATTTTTGAACTCGGGTCCTCCTGACTTCAGGGCCAGTGCTCTATCCACTTTGCGACCTAGTTGCCCCAAGAGCCTCTTTTCATGGTATCAAATGATCAAAGGATCTAGAGCTGGAAAGGACATCAGAGGTTGGTTAGTTCAGTCTTTTCATTGTGTAGGTGAAAAAACTGAGGCTCAGGGACAGACATTGAGTCTATGTTGTAAGAAAAATATGCATTTAATAATATATGACAGATAAACTTGCTCTCTCTAGAGAACTACTTATATAGGCCTTTTTGTACCCAATCTTGTGAGTACTTTTGTGGTTGTTTCAGTCTTGTCCTACTCTTCTTAACCCCATTTGGGGTTTTCTTGGCAAAGATACTGAAGTGGTTTGCCATTTTCTTCTCCAGCTCATCTTACAGATGAAGAAATTGAGGCAACAGGATGAAGGGACTTGCCCAGGGTCACACAGCTAGTAAATGTCTGAGACTGGATTTGAACTCAGGTCTTCCTTACTCCAGGCCTGGTTCTCTATCCGCTGCACCACCTAGCTGCTGCCTTGTAATTACAGAGTATCTCTATTTGAAATCTTTAAATAATGAGGAATACTCGTAACCTTTTGGCAAGCCATTTAACTTCCTCAGTCCTCTTTTTGTCATCTGTGTAAAATGGAAGTGGATGGACAAGGTTCTTGGTAAGGCCCCTTCCAGCCCTAATATTCTGTTCCAATGTAACTAATAGGAATGCTAATATATAACATATATTTTTAGATTTCTTGACATAAGTAAATAGTAAACATTACACCACCATCACCCCAAAAATATAAGGAAATGTGATTTATTTAATCATCTGATTGTCTTTCCAGAAGTGCGTCTCAGAGTAGAAAACAAACAAAAATATTGAAGCGATGAAATGGAAAGCCATTGCTTTTTCGATTGAGTGGATGGCCTATGCAGTCAGTTGCTAAATCTTGTTTCTATCTCTGCAGAATCTCCTGAATTGACCCATCCTGAGTTGAGGCAAATTTCATTTGGTATCCCATCACCTCTCACCTGGATTATTGCAATCGGTCTCCCTGCCACTAGCCCCTCCCCACACTAATCCATCCTCCACACAACTGACAAAATGATTTTCTTCAGTGCAGGTCTGACTTTGTTACTTTTCTATTTGATAAATTCTAGTGGTTCCCTTTGCCTATAAGGACAAAATATAAACTCTTTAAATTTGACTTTTAAATCCTTCACAACCTGGCTCTAACCTATTTTTCCATACTCTTTACGTATTACTTTCCTTCCTGCACTCCATGATCTAGCTAGATTGCTGTTCTTTCTCCTGATGTACATCGCACTCCATCTCTGATCTCTGTACCTTTGCATTAGTGGTCCCCCATGTCTCAAGTGAATCCTTCCTTACCTCTGCAATATAATTCAGTGCCTCTGCAACGTACAATTATTCTCTTCTTTAAGGAAGCGGATTATGTATGTACCACCTTCTGAGCAAGACTTTCCTGACTCCCTCCTCTACCTTCTAATTCCCTCTCTTGCTAACTGTCCTGTATTTAACTATCTTGTATTTCTTTTGCACTCATTCTCTCTATATTCTGTAAGTACTTGTAGATGTGCAGTTCCCCATGGAATATAAATTTCTTGAATGCAAGGACTCTTTTGATTTTTTTTCTTTGTATTTACAGTGCCTACTAGCACATAGTGGAAACTTTATAAATACTTTCTGATGCCTGCATTTTGGGTAGAAAAAATAAAAATAGAATATAACTCGAACAAAGAAGGCTGGTTGCATTCAAGAGATTGAATTTTAGGAGGAAAAGTTTCCTAATCTGTGATGAAATTTTCCAGAATAAAATCAGTGGATGGTGTGTAAGATCAAGTAGAGGTAAAACTGAGTGAATTTAGTACCTGCAAAGTCATCTCTTCTCAATCTGGGCTCATTTTTCAGGGGTGTGACCTGATTTTTAAATGTCATTATTACTGTTGTGGAATGGGAGCTGGATGGGACATAGAAGTTTTTTAATCCAAATGGACAGTTGAGAAAACTGAAATGATTTTACCAGGGTGAGAAAGGTGGTAACTTTGAGAGAGTTGGAACCGTGTCCTCTGATTCTAGATCTCATCTCTTCTCTGTAAATATTCCTTTAGTCATTATTTGGGTGTCCTACTGTTGGTAAGATGACAGACTAAGTGCTCAAAAAGATCTTAGAGATCACCTCTCTCCATTTTATGACCCCCTAATGCTTTTCCACCCCCTTCATTTTACAGATGAGGAAACTGAAAACTAGAAAGTTGAAATAATTTGCCCAAGGTCACAGACAGTAAGTTGCAGAGCTATAATTTGAAAGCAGGTTTTTAAATTCCATATCCAGTACTTTTTCTACTATGCAATGCTGTTTCTTACTCCCACTGAATTCATTTAGGCGTTTGTTATACTGGAGTGAGTGAACAAGTAGAAAAAATATAGACAAAACCTATCAATAATAAATAGATTTTAATATTGTACTGCTCTGAGTCATACCCCTGCAATGAAATGTTTTTGAAAGGAAAAAAAAAGTTACTGAAAAAATGAACCTGATTATAGACTGTATTTATGCTTTTTACAACCTGGATTTCTTTGGGGGAAAATACAATTTATATTAAAAAAGAGTAAATATGAGCTACTTACATTGTACAGTAGTAGCTGGAGTCACATAATTTTGAGTAGGCTGAGGGCAATTATTACCTCCTTTCAGTTTGTCTGAGAAAGCTTCAAATTCAGATTTGGTGTTTATGTGTGATATGCTGTGCTCTTAGGGAGTTTAAAATGAAATTACATGCCCTCAAGGAACTTACATTTTACATTTGTAACTTCATTAAAAAGTTGAGATTTTAGAAACTTAAAAAAATGCTCAAGAAAGTGTTGCAGATAGTGGTAGAACACATCTGTGCGCTGAAAGTTTGAGGATGATTAGTCAAAGGGGACAATGAGCACATTTGCATATGTAAGGAGGTTTGTGTGAGTTCTGTTTTGTTTTTTTCCTTATAGGTCATGGTGTACACACAGAGGTATGTGTAGACATGACTGGCAAGAATTGATAACTCCCCGGTG